GGGATATGGGAATGACCTTTGGCAGAGGCTGCTAGAGCACACAAATATCTGATTCTCCTCTTCTTCCTGCCTGACTATATTTGCAGTTAGAGATGGCCACATGACTGAGTTCTGTTCCATAGAACAGAAGTAGAAATTACGTGAGCCCCTTTCAGGACCGTTTGGTAAAAATCTCCCATCTGCAATCCTTGTTATCTTCCTCATATTCCAGCTGAATCGAGAATCCTGAGATCCCAGAAGAAGGTCCAGCCATGAGGTAGAAGCATCCTGGGTTTCTGAGTGACTGTGTAGAGCAGAGTTCACTCTCCTAATTCAAATCACATTAGATTGTGAGATGAGCAAGCAACAGACTTTCATTGTGTTCAACTACTAGAATTTTAGAGTTGCCTTATTATAGTTGTTAACTTATCCTGATTAAGACAATTATCTACTTTGCAGAATTATTGTGAGAATTCAACAAGCTTGCGAAATGCCTAGTTTAGGGGCTCAATACAGTTATTGTTATCACCAAGATTATTAATAATTCCTATAAAATGGTACTAAACAGATGATCTGGGGCTTTGGGGGAGTGTAGTGGTTTCCTATCTGGCCCCCAGTTCCTTGAGTTTGGGCCCTGCCAAACCACTGAGGTTATACAAATTTGAGGAGTTGGGATACCCGGCCTTGGGGTTCTCTGACATCTGCCCAAAGGCCAGCAGAGTGCAGAAGACTGAGGGGAAATGAGAATAGGCTTGGAAATAATTGCAGTCAGAAAAAAAAACAAAGCAGTCATCTTCAGAATACAGACAAGCAGAAGGTTCCAGTTCCAGAAATCTCTTCTTTGTTTTCCCTGGTAACGACTGATGCTAGAAATGAGAAGCCAGGACATGGCAAAGCCACCCAGTGCCTCCGAATCAGCTGTGCAGCCAGCCTTAAGTGCACTGCAGGATGCTCTAATTCTCGGAGAGTCAATCATCCTTGACTGGATATAGTGTATCTGGTATGTCAATTAACTAGCATTTTCACTTAAACAGAGTACAATGTTCTCCAACCCAAATCTGCAAATTGGCAGCCTGATTGTTAAATACTGAGCTAGTTGCCAACTTTTATAAGCTGGAAGATTTCACATAAATATTCATATTTCTAGTATCTCTCTAACTATCAAATGACCTAGTCATGCTGGGCCCACATTTCCAACTGGCAACAACTGGCTGCTGAGTAGCAACTGCCTCTGTTAGATGTGGCAGACACTATAACACTTGCCACCATACTTACCCAGCCCATTTGACCATTTACACTACTCACCTGACCCCTGTATTTGAGTTTGCAACCCCTAGGTTAATGAGTATGATAAACATGACTTTAATATATGGTAAAATTCTTGGTGATTTTGGCTTACAGCTAAAATTTTTTTCATGCCAATGATATTTTGAAATATACTCATTTATTTGGTCGAGAAATGCTAATTGGAAAGTTGCTATGTGTGATGCACTATATATGAATTGTATTCTCGAGAAGTCCTCAATTCAATAAGAGAGATATAATAGCTATAAAAACTATAGTAACAGGTACAGATGTATGCATTTCTAGAGAAGGAGAAGGGAACGATTTATTTCTCCAGAGAAGATAAAATAGCATTCATGAAGGAGGAAATACTTATGCTGGGCTTTGAAGATTTGGTATGATTTATGTGTGTAGAAATTGAAGGGATGGACTGCTCGGAAGGGGTGACAGCATGAGAAACTGCGTGGCAGTATTAAAGTACTCACCAGGTACAAGAAAGAAAGAATAATTAAGGTTGATAGGAGCATAGGATTCGAGAATAAGAGTAGTGGGAAATAAAATCAGAAAGCTGGATGAGACCAAGGCAAGAAGTGATATAGAGAGTTTAAACAATTTCTGTGAAAGCCAGTGACAGATTTTGAGCAGGAGAAGGCCAGGCTCAGAGTTGCGATTCAGAGTGAAGAGTCCAGAAAGGATATGCATGTAGATTAGTAAAGAGAGAGTCCAGAGATCACTGCAGTTATCTAAATCAAAAGTAATTAGTGTCCAAACCAAGGTCACAGCCATCAAAACAACAAGGAGATGATGCAGGTGGGAGATATTAAGGATACAAAACCTCTGGGATTTTTTAAGCTGTTGGTTGTTGATCAAGAAACAAGTGGAATCGAATGCTTCTGAGAAGGGAAGGCATAAGCAGAGAGTTAGGAAGAAGTGGGAAGTGTAGACAACTCTCTGAAGGAATATAATAGCAAAGAAAAGAGGAGGGAGAGCATGGCAGGGAAGAGAGATGATTTTGGAATGGGGGGCTTGAGCACATATGTATTCTTAGGAGGATTCAGGAAGAGGCAGGGCTTTAAGAGGCAAGAGAGAGGAATTGATGAAGCAGGGCCTCCGAGGAAGCAGGAGCTGGAATCAGCACAGGAGGAGGAACTACCCTCACCTGCTGCGTGACCAGTGAGAGTGATCCTCACCTGAATTGGCCACCGTTGGCCTCAGGACCATGTCTAACAGGCAGGACACCCTGATCGTTCTCATCTGCTGAGTGGAGGACCCCTGGGCAACGCCTCCCCGTGCTGCGTGGAGAATGCCAGCTTAGGGAGGCCACCTCTGGGCCTCTGGTAATACTAGCATGACAATTCCTTAGCTTCCGGTTGTCCTTTTTAATTTATCACCTGAAAAGTGGTTTACCACCAAAACATGTTATGCCTAGATAAGACCATTGTCTTTTGGTTCTTCCGTACCACAGATTCAACTTACTAACCAGAACAGACTCTCGACACCAAACTCTGTAAAAGTTCTTCTATATCCTTTTCACTTTTATTCTCTGTTCTCCATACATGAAAATGTCGATGATCACAACTAAAAGTTGCAGAGAGAGTATTTAACATCTACAAAGTGTTTTCTCATTTGAGTATCTAATGATCTTATGGAGTGGGTATAATCATTAAACCCATCCTTCACATAAGGAAACTGAGGCTCAGAGAAGTGAAATGTCTTGTGCAAGCGCTGACAGGTAATAAGTAGCAAAGCCGGGATGTGAATCCAAGATCCTAAGACTCCAGAGTTCATGCCGGAAGGAGCTACACCATCCAAATGCTCCATCTGAACTATTTCCCCTCTGAGGCACTTTCACAAACTTTTTCTGACAGAAGACTCACAATAATTATTATCCCCATTTTACAGATCAAGAAACTGAAGCTTAGGGATATCAAGTGTCTTTAGCCTGTGCCCGACTTTTATACAAATGAGCTATTGACAATGTGTCTGTAAGTCAAGTGTTACAAAAGATGAAGGAAGAGAGGCATTTTCCCAGTTCACGAACACTATAGAATTCCCATTTCTGCATCATCTTTGATGATATGTGCATGTTCTTTTATTTTATTCTTTGTCTTGACAAATAAATATGGTTGGCCAGCTTATATCAGTAAATGCCAAATTGAAGCTAAAAATTTATTGATTCGTCTGCTCCATATTCTCCCTCTTGGTTCTTAATAGTGTTACATTTCTGAGAGCTATATTTCTTAGTGCTAATATCAATGTCATCAATTTTCTATTTTCCATTCATTTTTATAAACAGTGAAGAGAAAATGAAATAAAATGGCCAACATTCATTAAGTGCCTTACTATTTTGTGCAGTCCCCATGAAAATGTGCATTGAGTCCACAATCACGTACGCTGCATTATCAAGTGTTTTCTGAGAAGAGAGAAATTCTGTTTTAATTAGGTGTGGATGAGAACCCAGTCTCCCACTTAGAAATTGACATGTCTGATGCTTAAAGGAATTTTCCAAGGGTGGGTTTTTGCTTTCCTACATTTCAAGCCTTGTTTCTCTTCCACCCCCACTTCCTGTTAGTGCCAGGCTCTGTAGGACACTTTCACAGCACTGAGCGATCTCTAGCCCTATCCCTTTGGGTTATAATGATGGATGAGTGTCATGGTGAGTCATAGGAGTATTCTGGAAGCCATTCCCACACTAGGCAGTAGGCAATAGTGTAACCATACACATAACTTACTGTGAACTACATAATCATCTCATCAGATCCAAACTAAATGGTTTAAGTCAGAGCCCCAAAATACCTGTGACCATTTTGATGCCACCCGACTGAGTGAAAGTAGTTGGATGAGGAAGTATTATTAAAATATCTTCCTTATGCAATTATATATGCAATTATACATATAATTACACACACACACACACACACACACACACACACACACACACACACAATCTTACTGCCAAGGGCCCACCCGGGGCCATAGAAGAAGCCTATACAAGTGAGCCTAGGTAGCTGAAGCTTCAATACTTCAAGGTAAACTGTATGTTCTGTCACTACTAAACTGGAGTCATCTGGACTCTGTGTGTCACCAGGAATGGGCATTGTGGTACAAGGGATGAAAGTGCCGATAAGAGAAGCAAGTCGGTGATAACCTAGTGCAGGGGTCAGCAAACTATGGCTCACAGGTCCACAGCCTGTTTTTGCAAATAAAGTTTTATTGGAACACAGTTACACTCATTCACTTATGTATTGTCTATGGCGGATTTTGCACTACAATGGCAGCATAGAGTATTTGAAACAGAGACTGGTCCACAATTTTGGGGAAATTGTGAAGGTCTCGAAGAAGAGGAAAATGAGGCAAGAAAAACTAATGCTGGATTTAAACTCTTGGGATTTAATTCTGCTTCCATCATTTCATGACTGTGCCTTTGGGCAAGTTTCTCAACTTTTCTGAGCCTCAATCTTTCTTCATTTGTAAATGGGGATAATAGTTCTTCTATCATAAATTTGCTATGAGGATTAAATGACGCCCTGTATGTAAAGTGCTGGCACAGTACTTGACATGAAGCCAGGGTTCCATACAGGTCATAGGCTATTATTAGCTAACAGCCTCAAAGATACCAGTTTTTTGGTTAAAATATTGTTGGCTGAGGTAGAAGGATTTTATGTGTGCTTGTGAAGCCCTGCGGGTCGATGCTAACACTTTGCCCCCTGAGAGGTTCTCATTGTTATGTTTCACAGTGATACATCTGGGACAGCCTAATGAAGATATGATGCGATTAAATATCATCCCGTTGTCTCTCTACCAACTCACCCCCACTCCATATCACGACCAGAGTCTAGATCATTTTCCTCTTCTTCAGGACCCTCACCATTTTTTCTGGAGGTAAGTGAATTCTCTAATTCAATTATTCATTCACCCTGTCTTCTTAGAAGTCCTGGATTTTCTAAGGCAACATCAGCTGTGCAAACCCAACTGCTTTGCAGTTGCCACCGTACCCCTCTTTTTTTGTCTTATTCCAGATCACTCTTCCTCATTCAGTGCATAATGGGGGATATGGTTGGCAGAAGAAACTTTTTCAGAAATAAGTCTGTATTGGTCAAAATACTTTGGGCTGCAAATAAAAGAAAACCCAACTACATTTGGCTTAAGGAATAAAGACATTTATGAATTTATTAGTTTATCTTCTTGGGTTGGCCTCATGGTCCCAGGATGGCTGCCTTAGCTTCAGTTATCACAGGACAATGACAATATCAAGAGCAGATGCAGATTTCCAAGGAACTAATGAAGCTTAAGCTTCAGAGTCCCTCACTTTCACAGGCCCCTTCAAGACCTGACAATGCACTTCAGTGGCCATATACTTTTGTGAAAATTTCAAAACTAAGATCTATGTGTACTCTTTTACTTAAAGAAGGTGCTTTAAATTATATATACTTTAGGACTCACAAAATCTGGATCCACCCCTGCTCCTAAAGTGGAAAAAAGAATTGTCTTACTGTGGGTCCCTTTTCTAAGAACAAAGAAGAGCTTCCTGGAAGTCTCTCCTAGCTCCACCTCAGACTTCCCATGGCATCTTATTGGCCAAAACTGTATCACATGCCGTGCTTTATTTGTTACTTGGCGTGTTGGTTCATGTTCTCTAAAAAGCAGATGCCAAGACTGAGTTAAACATACTAGAGATTTATTAAGAGAAATGCCCATGCGAGAAAATGGGAGGGAGTGGGAGGAGATAGGGAGAGCTGGCAGACAGCTGCACAGGTGGTCTGACTCTGAGTGAAGGAGAGAGAGAGGAAGGAAGGTTGGGTGAAAACATCTTGCACTGCAGTGTAGTCTAAGCAAAGTTCAGCCAGGCCTTTGGTGAGAACTAGTCACCTGTTGAAGCAGTGCCGAGTCTCCCAGGAGTCAGCCTGTCTTGGTTTCCCTGCCACACTCTATCAGTGGCTGGGAGCAGCCTATGGGAAACACGAGTCTTCGCCAAAGCAGTTATGGATTTTTTGAGCACAGCAGATGGACTGATGTCCAGTTACACTCCTTGCAGTAGGAGATCTCAGAGACACGTTCTTATGGCCACTCTCTTTAGCAAGGAGAATGAGAACCCTATGGTTGGCATAGACCAATGGAGATTCATCCCTGGGACAGGGAAGGGCCCAGGCGACCTAGGAACTTGACCACTCAGAGCTGGCAGAACAAAGGTGAGGATTCTTCTTGGAAGGAAGGGAAGGATGGCAATGGGGAGGCAAGAATAGTGTCTGCCAACCTCGCTACCTGCCTGCCTCTCGACACAGCTCTTATACCAACAGATGGTCACTGAGCATGTCCATCTCAGCCAGACCTGAATCAGACATGGCTGATCTTTATCAGGCGCCTTTCCTGACCCCAGGGCCAGCATAGTGTATGCAGTAGAAGGAAGGCAAACAGCCACTCCATGAGTGCTATCCAAATCTTGATATTTGTGATGAGCTTGCTGTAAATAAATGCTCTTGTCCCAGGCCTTCTCTGCAGATCACCTGAGCTCAGAGCTGGGCTGCTTTTGTCTTTGATTTTTATGGGGGTGTGAGCTTTGGCGTCCTGTGTCTATTCTAATTTGGCTAATTGCATGTTGCCTGTTTAAAATCTCCCCCACTGTTTCAATTAGATAAAAAGTTCTTCATGTTCTGCTTGGCAAATCAGGTTGCAAGCACTTGGGGTCCTCCCCTTTGGAGGGGAGGTAGGTGTCATTAATTATGCATGAGGCATGACAAGTTGAACAAATTATTTGAGTACCATTGGAAACCAAGGAACTATTTCATGTGGCAAGAGCCTGGATTACTGAAGTTGTCTCTTAACTGGTCTTCCTGCTTTCAGTCTTGCCCCTAATTTCCCTTTTTTAATCTCTACCCAACAGTCAGAGCGATCCCGTTAAGAAGCAATTCAGAGCATGTCACTCCTGTGCTCAGTTCCTACCAATAGCTGGTCAGTTGCTTCTAGTAGAAGCCAAAGCCTTTACACTGATGTGTAAGGCCCTACATTAGGGTTCTGCAAACTGTGCCCCCCGCCCTCCCCGACAGCCTCTACCTCCTTCCACCGTTTTTCTCCTCAGCACTTTTCACTAACATAATGTGTATTTTACTACTTACCTTGTTTATACCCTCAACTCTGAAAGCGAGCTCCTTAAAGTAGTGCCTCACACATAGTAGGTGCTCAATAAATGTTTATTGGATGGATACATATAACATTAAAGGCTCAGAATTTTGTTGCACAACAGAAGACCCAAACAAGAGTGGCTTATTCAGGCTGGTAAGGTGGCTTCACAGTGTCATCAGGGCCTCTTGGCTCCTGCAGCTCGCCTCTCTGCCTCATCTTTGGTGAGTGGCTTTCTTTACCCAATAGTGTCCTCATGAGCACAGGATGTTCACTCCACCTCTGGCCTCCCTTTCATGTTCCAGGCTGGTAAAAGAAGGAAGTGACTGGGAGGAGGAGGTGACACCTAATCAAAAAAGCAAATCTTTTCCAGAAATGTCTAGCACACTTCTGCTTATAGAACTAAGCCCCGCAGCCACTGCCAGCTGCATAAGTTAGGAAATATGGTTCTTATACAGGTCACATTACTATCCTGAAGAAAATTAAGGTTCTTATAGTAAGGAGAAAGGAGAAATGGATATCAGAGAGGTGACTTACAGCATCTGCCACATATGGACTTTGATTTTTTTTTTTTTCTCAGCTGGCAGAAGTACAGAGGGTGGAATTTGGGAGAACTCCCAGGACTTTGGAAAAGTGCAAAAGACAAAATTGCTGATTTTTACAAGAGGCCAGTCTAAACTTTCCCTGTAGTATAGTTTCACAGCTCCCTGAAATTCCCTTGTCACCCCACTTATCATAAGGTTTATGTCATGCTCACCATTGCTTCTCAGTCCTGAGCGGTAATGTGCAGCACATGGTTGATGCTCAGGAACTATATGAATTAATAAATTAAGTGAAATGAATTCTGGGGAGTGCATGCCCACACACACACACATAGGTACATATATGCATGTGGTTTGTCTAAATGCTTAGATTCCATTTATTACATGCTTCTTATATGCCATCTTATATATTCCATTCTGCCAACGATCTTGGCAAACCAATAGTAGCATCTCCCTTTCAAGGCTCTTGTGCAGCAGCACAGAGCTACTAAATGGTAGAAGTAAGATTCTAATCCTAGGTTGCTAATTCTAAAGCCTATGTGCCCCTGATCCCATTCACTCATTAAGTCATTCGACAAATATATACTTACTGCTTACTGTGTGTCGGGCACTTTTGTAATAATCGTATTTCTTGTGTGAGAGAACACTGCTCAAATCAAAACTTAAATTTTGGTAAGTGAAGGGTAGTACAAAGAATTAAAATGCACATGCCCTATCTCGTTTAATCTGTGTCTTTCTTCTGAAAGTTTCTAAGTGAGGAACCCACCCATGTGCCTTCCGTGTCATGTGGCCTATTTTAAATTTCTCGATGTTTCATTCATATGCATATTATTTGTTTAATGAGATTATAAATTACTTGAGATTAGGAAGTATGCCTTATTCATTACTGAGTTCCAATCTTAATCTTGCCTATAATTAAGACAGTGATGGGCACACTGGGCTCAATAAATTCCTGTTGGATGAAACAGAATTAGTATTAGGCAAGGTTTTTGGCTGCCAGCAACAGAAACCTGTCCTGAGTGATTTATGCAGGAAAGGACTTTATTGGAAGGATGTAGCTCATAGAACCAGCTTTATAACATAGGCAAGAATAAAGAGAGTTTAGATTAAAAAAAAAAAAATACAGCCAAATTCATGGCTACTTGAGCCGCTACCACTGTCACTACCACTACTGAATGCTCAATCTATCATTTCTAGAAACTGAATGCTGATGTTTACCGCTGCACTACTGTATCAGCTAGATTGTACTGCAGTGACAAACAACTCCAACATCTCAATGGCTTAAATGACAAAGGTACATTTCTCACTCCCATTATATTTCAACAATGGTGGGCAGGGTGACTCTGCTCATCAGAGTCACTTAAGGTTCCAGGCCAATGGAGGCCTTATGCTTCCACGATCCCAGAATCTGGAAAAGGGAAGGGCATGAGGACAACTGGAGCTAACCAATTTAACCAGCTCATAAAGTTCTTTTCTGATGTGACACAAGCTACTTCCCCTCTGTTTCATTGACCAAAGCAAAGTCCATGACCATACCTAATTTCTTAGGGGGTGGGAAAGTGCAATTCCATTAAGTGCCCAGAAAAAGAATTTTTGTATTTGTGATCAGCTTTGATGATTCTGCAAGTTCCAATACCACTTCCACCACAAATACTTGCTAACTAGCTCTGCGTTTTGTGTGACTCATTTAATATTCAAAATCCTGGTAGAATCATCCAACCAGCCAAGGTCAGGTCATGTTCAGTGCTTATCATCAAGGAGGTACATGACGGAGGTAGTCAGTCAAAAGGCCACAAACATGACATATGTCTCCATCTTTTTCGGTTGGAATCTATACTGCTGATCAATAAAACCTGCTTTTCCCAAGGTGATGCATTCTAAAAAGGATTCTAAGATATGGGCTAAATTCTAAGCTCTTTAAGGAGACAGTGTTAGATACTCAAAACATTTTTTTTTTTAAGAATAAATTAACAAAGGAATTGTATCTTATTTAGTCTTATGCCCTAGGACCTAGCACTCAATACATATTAGTTCTACATGCTTCCCCAAGTGTTTTTTTCAAATGAAAATGCTATTACTTAAAAAAAAAAATGTTAGGAAGTCAAATAAAATAGAAAATGCTGTGTTCATTCAGTCATTCTTTGTGGTAGCCAGCCTGGGAGCTAGTCAATGAACCTCTCTACTGGTAGGCACACCCTTGGGTAAACCCCTGCCTCCTTCCTGGGTGTGGGTTGCATTTATTGATTCACAGATAACAAACAGAAAGACAGGTTATTAGGTTACAAAAAGATCGTGGCTTCCATTTTCAGTACCTTCTCTTACCCTTCTGTTCAGAGGGAAGCCAGCTGTCATGCTGTGAGCTGCTCATGCGACGAGGAACTGAAGCCTCTAGCCAATAGCCAGTGAGTACTTGAGGTTTACCAACGGTTATAAGTGATCTTGAGATGACTGCGCCCTAGCTGACACCTCGATTATAGCCTGTGAGACCCTGAGCTGAGGACTCCCCTACCAGATTCCTGATCCACAGAAATCGTGATATAAAAAATGTTTGTTCTTGTAAACCACTAAGTTTGAGGGTAATTCTTTATCAACCACAGATAACTATAACATTCATTTATTCAATAAATATCTAATAGCACTATATGAAGCACTTAGGACACATTAGTGAGCACAATAGACCTGATTTCTATCCTTATAGAGTTTAAATTAATTTAAACAGGCTTCTAAGCTGCAGAAATAGACAGAGGCTTTAATATGCAAATGTTCATCATGAAACTCTAAGAGAGGAAGAATGGGTCTCTAACTTTTAAACTTTTTTTTCCCCTCTGCATTTCATAGGGTTAATGTTTTATGGAACACATACTGGAAAATTCTCTATTAGCTAAATGAGTAAATGAATTAAAGTTGTCATTTTAAAGGCTTAAGCTCCCCTGCAAAAATTTTAGAGTATGTCCCACTTTGTTCATTATAGGCTTAATAGCCATTCTCCTTTTCCTGAACCCCATGCACACTTTCACTAATTTACTTAGCAAACGTTGACTGATGACTGTGTTGTAGGGTTGTAAGGCCTTGCAAGCACCAAACTGTTGCTCGGGCGATGGGGCTGCTGTATTTCTCCTGAAGTATATTTGGAATCCACTAATTGTTTCATATTGTGAGTAATGGCTTCAGCCACAATGTTTGGGCAAAGAGCAAAGGAGAAAAAGAATGGGATCGGCTAATGTTAAAATCAAACCTTTGCTGAAAACAGTAATGTGTATTGAAGCAAAGCATTGTCCTCAAAGAGAGGAGACATAATCGGTATTGAAACAGTGCCTGAAGTATTTCATCCAACTGTATTTAAAACGTTTAAAAAACTCTTGGAACAAATAAAGCCCTGAAAAGATCTTTCAAATTGACATGAATTCTTGGCATGCTTTTCCCTCTCCTACAACAGCCCGCTTCACAGAAGCCAGGGGAAGCAGGGCTTTTGTCTTAATTGTCTAATGTGGATCAAGTGTTTCGTCTTTTTGATGAAAAGCAAGGAGAAAAAGGGGCATCTCGTCTACGAAACAGATGGAAACGGCAACCCCGTTTCATCTCTGGGGCCCCGCACCTCAGGAATTTGCATGACATTTCCCGATTTAAGGAAGTAAGTAGTAAATGTCCTGGGACACACGTCTTAGCAAACGATGTCCCTTTTCCACCCTGGGAAGGCATTTGGAGTCTGGTTTAGAAATAAGGCAGCACTGATGTTGGCAAAGGTGCAGAGAAATGAGATGGATTGAAGATTTACAAGTAAAATGTGAAGGCGGAAAAGAAAATAGAGGAAGATATTTATCGTCTTGAAAGAGCAGGCCTCTCTATCCTACCAACATTAAATAGAAGAATTAATAAATTTAACTATGTGAAAACAGAAATCGCATGCTAGGTAGCTAGCTAGCTAGCTAGCTAGCTAGCTAAATAAACAAACAAACAAACGAATGAATGAATAAATAAATAAATAAATTTAAATGAGGGAAATGGCAAGCCACGGAGAATTATCCGTAATATGTATGACACGGAAAGATTATTTTTATTCAATCAGTAATTCTTAAAAATAATTAAGGAAAAGACAAACATCTTAGGATCTACCTCCTCCCCCCGCCACCAGACGAAAATAATGTAAATAGGGAATTCCTACAAGCAAAGATATAAAAGACAAATACGTAAACAAAATTCAGCCTCAGGGGCGATCAAATAAATGTTAGACACCATATTAAGAGATAATAATATAACATAGATAATGGCACAATCTCTATAGAGTCCAGCTGCTGGGGTTATTGCTCCTTAATTGTATGACCTTGGACACGCTGCCAAAACACTCCTTGCCTCCATTTTCTCATCTGTAAAATGGAGGTTATAGGGTGTTGTAAGGGGTAAGGAAGTTGATACATATTATACACTTGGAAATAGTATGGAATGGTATATAAGTGTTACTTATTATTAATTCTCTCATTAAATTGAAAATATGAAAATAATAATAGCAATGATGTCAAAAGAATGGAGGCAGGCACCCTTGTACCCTGCTGGTGGGTATAATTGATACAGTGTACTTGGAGAGCAATTTAGCCTCATGCATCAGGCTTTTAGAATGCTGCATTGCCTTGGACCAAATTCCATTATAGGAATTTTCCCCAAGGAAATAAGAAGTCAAATGCATAAAGACATAGCTGTAAAGATTTTTTTTTTTTTTTTTAGAGCTGTGTACAATCCTGCAATGCTGGAAGAATCTAAATGTCCAGCAATAATAGATTCATTGAGCAAATTATTGGACATCTGTTCCGTAGAATTCTACGTGGTCATCGGATAATATAAGGAAAAGTCACTATAAAGGGCATTTTGGGGACAATTGAAATATGAATTATATTTTAGATAATGTTATCATATCAATGTTATTTCTTGGGCATGACAATGGTCTTACAGCTCCTCGTAGGGGAATGTACGATACATGCTAAAGTATCGTGATCTTTGCGACTTACTTTCAAATGGTTCAGGAAAAAAAGAACATATATATCACACACACACACAGACCTCTTTTACAGAAAGATAGAGAAAGCACATGTTAGAAATGGGGAATCTGGGTCGGGGGTGAATGGGGTGTTTATTTTTTCCATCAACTTTTCTGTTTAAATAAAATAAAAAGTTGAAAAATATAAAAAAGACCACCGAAGAAAAGTGATATATTTTAATGAAAAAAGTAGTTTATAAATCAATATACACAATGTGATCTCTCTTTTATTTTTTAGTTAAAAGACTAGGAGTAGATAATAGTAGCCGGTATTTATCAGAGCCATTCTGTATACCAGGCACTGTGCTAATTACTTATATGCATTGTTTCTTCTAGCTAAAACCCTATGAGATTATGAGGCATATGATCTTCCCCACATAAAGAATTAATAGATGGAAACTCAGAGATTAAAAACTTATGTAAAAAACCACACAGCCAGCCACCGGTACACGAATAGAGCTCTTTATGACCTCAGGCCCACACTATTAACTACTACTCTATTACCAAGAGAAAAGAGCAGAAGGCTGCTGTAGGTGCTGCTGATGACATTGATTATAGCTAATAATTATCAATAAAAGCTGTAGTGGAGATACATTTAAAGAAGTAGAGCAAAGAAGTTAGTTCTACAGGGCAGGACACTAGGAGAATGGTAGTTCTTACTAAAGTGGTGATATTCGAGATGGGCATTGAAGAATGCATAGGAGTCCAATGGGGGAGGCGGGGAATACATTTGATACAGAAGAAACAGCATAAATGAAGACACACAATGTGTTTAAGAAGAGTGTGGAGGCAGGTAACCAGGGCAGATGGCAGCAAATGAGATTGGACAGAGACCAGCATTGATTCTTTCTGATGGTGATGGGGAGTTGGTTTATAAAAATGAGCCAGGCAGCCGAGTAAAAGTATGTCTGGATGAAAAGACGAGGCTAGCACTGGGGAGACCAGGTTGGGGGCTCTTTGGAACAGTCCCAACAGGAGGCAGTGAATGATTTTACCGGGGTAAGGACAATGGGAACAAAGAGGGGACAGAATCAAAGCTTCCTCCTCTGAAAGTTTGCAGCATTACTTTGGGACATACTCCATAATAGACACATCTTGAAATATCATCTTCCTAAACTGCTCCTTTACTTGTCCGTGCTCACAGCCATACCTACCGGTCTGTTCTGCTTTGTCTGTGTCATATCTACCTACAATATCTCTGAAGTGTGCCTGTGTAAGTACGTAAACATGCCTGAAATGATGGTAGTAATAGCTATAACTAGTTTTTTGGATTTCTGGTAATTTTTAACTTTCTTCTTTGTACTTCTAAACTTTTAATGATAAACAGGTATCATTTTTACTAGTGCCAGAATGCTATTTTCAGAAGAAAATTAAATTATTTCCTGTCCATTATTCTGAAGCCTACCTGTCAATCAGAGTAGTAAAATATAATCCTTCATCCTTCAGCATTCTACCTTTTCCAAACTCCTTTGCCCTCCAGCTTCTTGGTGGGTTTGGACAACGGGAGAGACTGGCAGAAGACAGGGTTCAGGAGGAGGGGAGAGCCCAGGGTTTTTCTGTCCCCTCCCTGTCTGCTTCTGGTCGTGTTCCTCACAGCAGTTGTGTCTCATCCATGAACTCAGACCCTGCCAGGCAGCCCTTCCCAACCTGGAGCTGTCTCTCCTGCTCAGCCTCCATTGTGGTTCTAGATCCTGTTGGATGGCTTGGCTTCTAGGCTCTGGTAACACCATCTTTTCCCTGTCCCTCCAGCCCTGGGGGTGGCAGAGCCTTATTGCTACTTTCCTGGTTGCCTCCTTCCTGTCTGTCTCATTTAGCTCCTCAGCTCTCCTGTCTCCTCTGTAACTGATTCTTTAGATTCCTTCAGATTGAAACACCTTAAGTGGTTTGTGTTTCCCAGTCTGGACCCCCTACCTAGAGCAGAAGTTCCAAATGGATAGGATCTGTACTTCTTCATTTTTAGAATTCCACAGGAGGGGTATAGCAATTACCATATTAATGGGCCATTAGGAAATCCATGGGTGGAATCTGGGGGTCACTGAATCCCAGATATCGTATAACAATTGTATATAAGTAGCATTTACGCACATACATGCACTTGTTTAGGGAGAGAACTGGTAGCTTTACCAGTTCATCAAAAGATGCATGACCTCCAGCCATGAAGAATCACTGCTGTGAAGGCCACGCTCACATTGGAATCTGCTCTGAGAGCCCCCTTATATTGACAGGTGCAACTATACCCCTTGCTTAAAAGTTACCTTTTAAAGCTCTTTGAGCTGTGTGACCTATCTACTCTGCAACTGAGCAAACTATTATGTAAACTCTATGATTCTTTCTTACAAGAGAAAGTTCGAAAGTAGTGAGCATACATTTTCCTTTCTTATGTGGAGCAAAGTGAAATTGAGGTGGACATTTATTGTCTTCTACCTAGTAACAGAGTCTTGCACTCACGAAGATGCTCGTATAGCAAAGGGATCATTTCTGAGCTTCACACACACTGACTATCCATTTAGGAAATAGCTGATATTTACAAGGGGCTTGCTCAGATATGGTACAGCACACCATATACAACCTGTTAATTCATGTGTATAATCCTTGAACTTCCCCTTTCTTGAAATTTATTGCACTTGCAGCTCTTATTAATATCTGTCTTTGGACTAAAAGCTTAACAAGAGCAGGACCCAGAAGGAAGGCAGACTTCCCCTAGCCCCCTACTACCCACACTGTGCCTGACCTGTAATAAAAGTCACCAACACTAGTGAACATTTACAGTGCTGGCCATTGTTGTGATGAGCTCCGTCAATCCTCACAGGTAACTACTGAGACATGTGGTATTATTATCCCCAATTACATATAAAGAACAGAGGCACAGTGGGGCATGAAGAGGCTGAGAAACTTGCTCAAGGTTATATAACTAGGAAGTAGGAAGCTGGGCTTCAAACCCAAGTGGCCTTGCAGTTCACATTCAGTAGATGC